ATTTCACAAATTTGGATAGATACCTGCACGTTTGATTTTCTTCCGGGGCATCTCGTCTGCTATGTTACCTTTGCTGTGTAATACACCGCTGCCTTTCACCATTCCCTGCAGGATGGGGAACGGCACATCCTCAGCTTTGGGGGAGCCAGTGACCACGCCGGTAAATCAGATCCAAGTGAGTGACGTGGGCATCTGGGGGGGAAAAACTGTCCTGTGTGGAAAAAAGAATCATGTCTCACTCATTGAATATGTTTTTTTGGTATCCTGATGCAACGTTCAGCAAAGGAATTGCTAGGTTAATGCGTATACTTTAAAACGGGCTATCAGAATAATCCATGGGACAGAAAAGTTCTAGGTGATGTTGGTGTCAAAATGGATGAGACCTATTCTCAGCGGAGTCTTCACTCCCCGTAGCTGGGTCTGAGGGTAATGGGTTGAGCCCAGTGTGCGGCACACTGAAGTGTCTGCTGTGTACACACTGGCTGCGATCATTGTTGCCACTGTTATTACTTGGTGCCAGCACTTTCCACCTGTCACACCCTTTTTTTTCCCTAACCCCTTTTGTTCCTTTGAAATGCATATTACCCTCGAGCTACGATGGGAAAATAGGGGGTGGAGACTTAGTTTGAGCCCTGAATCAATCCTGAGATTCCCCAAAATTCACACCCTTTCCAAAAGGTAATGTCTCACATTAAAATGATGTTTCTTTGGCTTCAGGAAACCATTTCTGATCATTGTGTGGTGATTTTCTCAAAGACATCTTGCTCCTACTGTACCATGGCCAAGAAGCTTTTTCATGATATGAACGTCAGCTACAAGGCGGTGGAACTGGACACGCTTGAGTACGGGAGCCAGTTTCAGGACGCGCTTTGCAAGATGACTGGCGAGAGAACAGTGAGTCCGCCCTCGGTGGGGCTTCCTCCCCTCCCCTCCCGTCCCAAGTAGGTGGTGGCCTGAGGGGGTCACCTCATGTTAGGAAACCAGACCCAGACACTCTCTGAGTCTCTTGCATAGATAAAGAAATGGCAGATCCGGGAGCCAGGTTTATAGAATAGGAAAGAGCAGGGTTGGTTCACTTTATTTTTATTCTTGTCCTGTGACTGTGTGTGTTTGACTGGACCACGGGACATGGGGTTGTCCTCAGTGCTTGTCTGTGGATCTTTAAGGTCCTCCTGCACTCCCTCCCTTCACATGGGCAATACAGACCAAGGGGTCAGTCTTCAGCGACTATTCCAATAGGAGTGACCATGTTCTTAGATTCTGGAAACTCATGGGTTTGTCCGTAATATGCATCCTCAGAAAAATATACAACATGCTCATGGAAGAAATGTGTAGTGTAGTCTTCCTCTTTGGTAAACAACTATAAGGAACTTAAACATTATTAAAAATTAGAGACTGCATTATTATTTCACCTTCTATATGCCACAGTGATTAGGAGGAAGGGCTCGGAGGGTCAGATGGTCCTGCGTTTAAATCCCAGCTCTGTCACTTACTGATTGTGATGTTGGGCAAGTACCTGTGCCTCGTTTCCCTCCAACCAAGGCTAAAAACTGTACCTCACTCGGGGTGGAAAGACTTAAGTAGGTAATAAGGGAGAGCCTGGCCGAAAACAGTACCCAGGCTGTGAGCATCTGTTGTTACTGTGCAGTGGTCTATTACTGCTGACACTGGGGTGACTCACGGTCTTTTGTTTACCCAACAGGTGCCGAGAATATTTGTCAATGGAACTTTTATTGGAGGTGCCACCGACACCTATAGGCTTCACCAAGAAGGGAAGTTGCTTCCGCTGGTTCATCAGTGTTATTTAAGAAAAAGTAACAAGCATTTTAGTGATCATGTTTGAGGGTGTCTGAATATGTGAGTAATCCTCGTGAAAAAGTTGCTAAAATAATGAACAATAAATGGCTGTGGCAATGTCATCTTGCTGAATGCCAATTTTTGAGCAAAAGAGATATTTAAAATGGGAGAAATGGAGCCTGGAGCCCTGGATGGTATTTAAGCTCTGCTTCCCCTATACGTGCACACCAGTCGTTTAATTTGTGAACAGGCTCGGGGACGGTCGGCAGTGACTAACAGGCCATAACCTTGTACTGTAGTGCCTGCAGGCCTTCCTGCCCCGCTCACCTTTTCACGCAAAAGCTGCACTTTCCCGCTTCTCGGGGGCGTGTGCCACCCACCAGCATCCCTGCTCTTGCTCGTGGGGATACTAGGGGCTGACTGAGGGTGAGATGCCCACAGGCCACCTGCCCAGGGATGCGGCCAGGGCAGGTGGGCCTGGGAGCAGCAGCTGGACACCGGGCCCTGGGTGCTTGGGCTCGCTCTGATTTTCCACTCAGTCTTCTGGGCAGGGGACTGGGACTGCAGATGGGGCTGGGTGGGGGGTGCTGTGGCTCATTGTCAAGATGACTTTGTGGGCGACTTCCCTTACTTCTCCCCAGGTCCTTGCACGGCTGCTGTAAATTACCATAAATGGGATGGTTTAGACAAGAAACGTTTCTTTCTCACATTTCTGGAGGCCAGGAAGTCCCAGGTCAAGGTGCCAGCTAATTCCTGCTTTGCAGGTGGCCGTGGTCTGTCCCCTCACCGGGCAGAGGGGATAAAGGAAGCTCTCACATCTCACAGGCTCCGGTCCATCACTAGGGTTAGGGCCTAATTCCCTCCCGAGGCCTTACCCTCAGAGACCATAAGTTGGGGGTGAGGGTTAATGTAAAATTTAGGGAGACACATACAGTCCATAACACCTTACCTTACAGCTTGATAAAAGTAGTGTCTAAGAAAAAACTAGGAGTGCTTCAGCAGCCTGCTTATTTTTTCAGAACCCTGGGCTAGAAAGAAGAGAATGGCCAGTTTAAGAAAAGTGTTATCTTTTTTTTAAAAGTCCTCTTTTGTTTTTAAGACTTGAAAGGTAAACTGTTTACTGGAGCCCATTAATATTAAAAAAAAGGCCATTTGTTTTTCGCTAAACAATTTACACTTAAATGGCCAAATATCTATTTGCATAGTTGACTTTTGTGTTAATTTTTCCCAACGGGAACTTTAGATATTTCCACACACAAAAACTCTGTTTTAAATGTCTTAAGAATGTACGTTTTGATTAAACCCAGTAGTTTTGATCCTATAATTGAAATCCACTGGGAAAGAATCCCCACCAAGTATATCTTAAATAGTTATATACAATAGTATATAAAGGGGCACTGTAAGACCAATATTTATCAAAACCTTTTCATCTTACTCAAACATAACATCACTAAGAGCCTTCGATTTTGTAAGGTGTATTACAACCTTAACATTCTTGCTGCTTTATAGAAATAGACAGTCATTTGAAGTGCACAGACTTTATTTGGTAGTTCTGTCAACTTCTACAATAATACAATTGACCAGCAACAGCTCGAAGAGTGCCCACCTGCATTCCATGTCTAAAATAATTTTTCCAGTATGGTATTTTGCAAGGACAGAAAGTCAAGATTTCACATTATGGGTGAAACCTGTTTTACCATGAAATAACATTAGTATTTCTTCCATTTCCTGTAGGAAAACAGCTAAATTACATTGTTAGGTATTTTATTTACACTGGAGAGTCGGACGACTCAACAAAGCATCAGTGAGTTTCTCAACAGACCTAGGACCACCCCCACCCTGGGCCCTTCAGGGTCCTGCCCTTTAAAATGACACTTGTTATGAATCAAAATTACATACTTTTAAGCACCAGCTTGACAATTTGAAGTTTCCTTTCAGTTTTATAAGACTCCTGCTTTGAAAGGCAAAGTGAATGTAAAGTTGTGCCTGTAATGAAATAAATCACTAGCCTGGATGCTTTTTATTTCAACAGTCGCAATGTTTTATGACTACATTCACTCCTTTGAATGAAATTTGCTTATAGGCTTGAAACAAAGTATTTTTGTCTTGAAAAACTCCCTTAAAAAATGAACCATTTTTAGAACAGTAAAATTGTATTTTTCATTGTGTTTAAATATGCAACTTGGTCCGTAGAGATGTTACATAAAGTCCAGCTTCTTGGATAATTTGTTATACAAAACAATAAAAAACCCTCAAACTACCACAAAATAGTATTGATGTTAGGTCACATTTTATGTTACACTGCAGTGTCCCAGATTATCCTGTTAATGGTACTTCAACTACTAGAGTCAGGTTTTAAAACTTAATAAATTCCCATTCGTTAAATAGGAGTGAAAGCTCCATCAGACACTTGGAGTTCTGTACTTCAGAAGCACTCACACGATTAAGGCATCACTTAATGAGCAGACTCTGGGAAGAACTCCTATGCTGTGCTGGAGAGCTAGTCCGTCATGTTGTAAGGCAGCCAAATGGATTGTGTTTTTCACTTTAAGGCTCTTGCCTACTCGAATTTTATTCTATGCAGGCATTAGTCTGTGTAATTTAAATATTCCTCCAGTGGTCAATCATGGAAATCAAAGCCTTTCTATAAAGCTAAAGCACATTTAGAACGAGGCAATGCCTCTCCTCCAACCAATTAAAAAATGCTTTCATGTATCTCATCCCTTTGGACGATGTTTTCCTCATAAGAAGCTGGCAAGGATGGAAATAAAACTCAAATGCACTTTAGAAGTTGTCTGGTCACACTGTACCAAATAGTCTGTATTTAGAATAGTGGAAAACATTTTTTCTTGGCTATTTATCAAATGTATAACATTTAAAAATTTAACTTGGCTGGTATGGATTCTAAACAGTTTACATTGCAAATGAAGCCTAACAAGTAATTTAAACAGAAGTTCCCATTCAGTGTTTGTACTGATACAATATCCACCAGTTGTGTGGCGATGGTATATAAAATACCAAGCCTTTAGCCTGTCACTACCCTTAGTAACCCAAGTGTTCATTAAATGAAACCAGCAGCAGCATAACTGGCTTATTTTTTGTGTGCAAGCCGATTCTGAGAACTTCTAAAAGAACTAGAAGTACTGAAATGTATTTTTAAGTTAAATATTACCATGTACTCGTAATGTTAATATGATGCACGGTGGTGCTGAAGAGAAGCAGAGGGAAAATCGCTTTAAGTTCAGAAACAGCTTTCGTGTTTTCATTGTATTTACAAAATTCATTCTCACTGAAAATTATCACAATTTTAGTAACAGTTTTGTAATGTAACTACTCTAGTTTATGCTTCTTTCTACCAATTTCCAATATAATTTGGTATTTTCAGGGTTTAGGGAAATGTGCCATTTATTACAATTTTATTCAAACAGTATGCTTAATTAACTCAATTAGTTTTCGGACTTGGAATGTATTTCTTCTTTCTCTTGACCAGAGAATAGTGACTTCTTAGTCAATACTCACCCTCACTGTGAAAATTTTTCTTCTACATTTCCCCCCACTCAGGAGCATTTTTAAAAAGTATCGAGCCCATTAAGCTATTTCCCTAGAATATTGTATCTTTCAAAATACATATCCTATTAAGTTCTAATTTGTATTGTATGCCCTCCTAAACTTTTATACAGACATTATTGATTTTCCTAAGATCTAAGCATCAGATGTTACTTTGTAAAAATAGCAAAACTGAATGACATAGGTTAAACTGGGCTCTAGAGTCAGTTAGATAAATGGAGTTTCCAGAGGGGTGACACTGAATTCCACTCGCTAGCATCTGCCTCAACAATATACCTATAAAAGTTACTAAATAAAATATGAATGTTAATTAATGGAATTTCCAAGAAATGTCACCTAACAAGGGTAGGATTTCATAAGTTTTTGTTTTACTAATCACTATTACGTCCTGAAAATATTTACATATTTTCTAGGAATAAAGTTTATTAATTTTTCTTAGTTTTTAAAAGTGACATTTCCCTAAATACTCATGTAGAAGTAACCCAAAAGTAGCTTAGAGAATAAAATTTCTTTATCACTCAAGTACATTTTATTCAGTGAGGTAAGTTTCAGAACCATATTATATAGCAACGTGGGTTACTTAAACATTGTGCATGAGGATTACTATGAACTACAAAACTATACGCTCACAACTTGTTTTTCTACTCCTATGGCAACCATGTATATACATTATTTTCTAATACCTAAAAGTTAAAAGTCTTGAATAATTCCATTTTCAACCCTACTCTTGTGAGTCAGTGTTTTCCCATTTCGTGGGGATATGAAAAGGAAATTTCTAGATCTAATGCTCCAAAGCCACCCTTTCTCAGACCCTGGCTCCCTAACCTAAACTTAAAAAAAAAAAAATCAAAAAATCACCTTTTTATATTTCTCCGGTTTTTTCCAGCTCTAAAATTCCAGGATTTGAAAATAAAGTTATGGTCTGTGGTGGCTCCTTTTAGTATGCCCCCCCCTTCTATGTTAAATGGCACCCTAATCCATTTAATTCAGCTTACCTACATACTTCAAAGAGGTCACATCTGATCCTACTTCTCTGACGGGTTTAATGTCGACTCATGAATATACCTATCTGAAAACACTGTAGGATAGTACATAACTGAAGAAAACACACTTTTATACTGTATTTCATTTCAATTAGGAGTAAAGTTACATCATATTATGACTTTTAAGTTGAGAAGATCTCGACTTTACTTAAAGAATTCCAGAACTATAACATAATTGTTAGGTTCTTTAAACTTCAAATTTAATCAGAACGTAAAAGTGAAGATGTTAAGTCCAAAGTCTGCCAGGGGATTAAAGACAAAATGACATTAGAAGCAATGTTACTTTTTGGGTGTGGGGGGGTGCTACTAGTTTTGCTGACTAAAAAATCTAAGATAAATCACAACATATCTACACTGCTATGAGTTGCGTCAAAGTCTACATCCCAGCGCTATTATTACTATGTCAAATAAGTGTAAAAGGAACATTTTCTTGTCACTCCCAGAGCCCAAATTTCCCATGAAACAGAAGACATTATTTACATAAACTCTTCCGCCACTGAAGCCACCCTAACCCCCGAAACGGAAAACCTCTAAACCCCAAGCATGAGAAAGGCTACAATTTACAGTTTCTAGTCTGCCTTTTTACATAAGCGATGAGATTTATAAAAACCCCCATAAAGCCTCCATTACTATTTAGAGAATGCATAAAAGCTGAAGTTTTATGTTGAAGGTGTCGGTAACCATGACGTAAGAGACATTACTGACATTGAAACAGGTTAAACCTCTCCACAAAGGGGTATTATTTGCTCAAAAAAATAATGCACTTTAGCGTAATGAAAGGAAGTTTAATATACACAAACAAAATAGAAAAAAATACTCTTACAGACTAGTTAGTGGTACATGCTACTCAGAAGTTGCCTTTCAGACCTGAAAGACCTAGCCAGCCTGCTTTACCGTATTTTACTTTCACTCTATCAAAAAAGAACGTTTTGTCGCAATGAAACAAAGAAATAGGCCACTGACGTGTTTACAACTGGAAACACCTAGGACCCATGTACAGTTGGCTAAAACAGTTAAAAGTAATTAGAATACTGACTTTACGCTAGTCAGATTGTAGTTGAGATTCTGTCATACTTTCAGATTCTAGTGGGGGAGGCAGATGCTTGAGACACTTTAGGTTGTTTTCATTTAAGGGCATGGAAAAAAGAAAGAGGAAACTGTCAGGCCCTCAACTCCCAGCAATAAAATTCACCGAAACAGACTTTCTCAGGTGACAAAACTTTATAGTCCCCTCCCAGGGGTTTCCTTTCTATGCTGTTTCCGGTTAATGGCAATAATTCCACAAGTGTAAATAAAACATAAGAGACAAAACATCTTTTTTACTGAGTAAGAAAGCTGCTATTTATGTGATCTTAGAAAACTCTTCACGAGATTTGTAAAACTCACAATTTAATCAACTGCCTTGGTTTTCGCTTTGCCACCTAGCTATAAACGTTGACAGCTGAGTTTTATAGGCCATCACAGTTACGTGGTCCAGTGCATTTCAGAATAGATGGACATTATCAACGCTGTCCTTTCCCAATAAAAACATTTAAGAAAACTTGAAGCACTTCTCCAACAAGTGACATGATATGGAACTACTTATAAATTTGGCTCTTCTTTTAAATAACAATGTGATTATTTAGCAAAGCAAACCTGTAACTACTTTACAGTCTATGGATAGGAGGTTCTCTATCAGAGGGAGCTACAGTGTATTCCGAAGCTGCTTCCCAGGAGCTAGTTTAGTGGACAAAGAACTTTGGGCTTATTTTCCCTTCCTTTTTTTTTTTTTTTTTTTGGTAAGGTAAACTTTCCATTATACACACACTATGCCATCATTTTATCACCATTCGTTCACTGGATTAAGATTAGCTGGGAAGTAGCTACTGTTTTCAGTGAGATCACTAATGGCAATGGATTGCCTGAGTTGTGCTGGTGCTTATGATTGGTTAGATCACATCCAATGTGAAATTTCGAATTACATCCAGAGCTCCAGTGTCAAAGCCACACACATCCAACATGCCTCTGTCATCTGGGTCTGCAATGGTGAAGCCACTCGATGTCATTCCACAGACAATCAATTTAGCTGGGACGCTCATTTTCTGTACGAAAAGATAAAAATACATTAGAGAAAGCAAAAGCAAATAACTTCAAATATTGAAACACTTTGAATTTTATCACAACTTTTCATTACAAAGTTCTTTTTTTCTTTCTCTACATAAAATATGTCAATCTTTCAGAGCTAGACTGTGGTCTTCAGAAGACTACAAAATAAAATTTTGTAAACAACCTGCCTGAAATTCCTGCTTCTCTGATCTGTATTACTTGCTCTGTGGGCCACAGAATACATTCCTGAGCAGCCTAGGACTCTGTACTTATCAAACCTGTCATGATGTTCAGGGGCATTAGATATTTTTACCAACATATCAAACAAGGGCAGTTTAGTGTGGGGGTGGAATAAATATAGGAAGATATTCCCCCAAGATTAACTTTGCTACACATAATATACGCGTCACATGTAAGAACCTGTTCTCTATGGTAGTGACTTGTCAAAACAGTTGTTTTTGAGAAACACCCATGTAACTTAAACTGTAGCTTACAGCTTTGCTTTAATTTTATGTAGCCCTTTAACAAAATTCACAAATGAAACTTTTAATTTTCCAAGGAACACACTGAATCATTAAAAAATTTACAGTTAAGGTAAAATAAATGGTCTGATTATTGTAAAAAAATACCACTTATAAATTGGAACTGGTGGAAATATATGTGTAGCCCATATGTTCTTATTTCAAGTACTGCTGAGTTCATTACTGGTGCTGTACACCTTCAGTATCTTCTTTTTGGGAAAACATAGTGAATGTTTGAGGTCTGAGTCTAATTTGGAGCAAGAGAGAGTATCAATTTGCTTTACCTTTCGATACTGCCTCAGAGCAATGGCAGGGTGGACACCCCCAGCAAAGGTCTCGTTGTCTGTGAACACAATGAAGACATCAGCAGCGGTGTTTGTCTTCTGAGCCCAGATCATCGGAAGAGAGCAATCAGTTCCACCTGCTGGGATCTAACTCAGAACAAAAAAGAATCAGACTAAAAGACAGTTTCCATAATGATACATCTGAAATAATAAAATAAAGTACTATTTTTTATATTATCATTGTGTTTAGAGCCAATCCTTAGGCCTTCCCAAAGCCTGTAGAGATATTTTATTTTACGCTCATGAGAAAATTGAGATAAAACAACTTGTTCTCAGAGATTTATTAATGTCAGGCATGACATAAATAACACAATTTTTACACAATATACATTAAATAAACTTAATAAAATAGTTTTTTACCTGATTCATAGCCATTAAAACCTGTTGTAAAGTCATATCTCTAGTTACTGGACATCGTACCATTTCATCAGAAAACGCAACTATGTGAGAATCTTTTTCTGTTCGTGCGACAACCTGAAAAATTCAATGGTAGTAATTTTCAGCAGATTTGGGAGAAATAAATACAGTACCTGAAGTCCACTAAACTTCATCTTTAAAAGAAACACACTGTGATACCTATTTTACTTCTAAACTTAGTGTTTTGGAACCACACAGCAGCAGCAGGATAGTTTTCCAAGTACTTTCACAAACGCTTACAAAAAAGCTGCTTTTCACAACAATCCTGTGAAGCAATTAGTGTGTTTTCTTCTCATTTCATTAAATAGGAATAAAGCCAGAGGAGAAGTTAAGCAGTTCGTCTATGAGGCACTTCACAGCTGCCCAGTGACAGGCAGGCTGAAACTAGTCTCCTGACTACTGCTGTCGTTCCTGACCTTTGAATTTCCATGTTCATCAGTAATTTCTCTAAACATTGTCTATGTCCTCAAAGCATTTGACTTTTAGTTGTAAAATTAAAATTTCTATCGAATGTTCTTTAGATGTGCTTTTTCAATACACCTATAACACAGTCTATACCTAAGCATAAAGTATATGTAATTATACGTACTCTTGAGTACATATACATATAATTTACTTAAAGCTTTGCTTGCTTTTAATTATTTTTGATATGGAACAATACTTAATAGGCCAAATTCACAAAAACAAGTGGAAACCTAATTCCTGATCCCATCTAAGTCTATAGTTTTGCCCACAGTAAACATTTCCTTAGGGTGGCAGAGGTAAACTGCCTCAGGTGCTCTCACCATGCACATCGCTGCGGCGACTGTGCTGGCATTGAGGACACTGCCCAAAACTCGTTGGTCCATAGAAGCACTGACATCCACAGCCAGCACAAAACGCTTTCGAGTTGGCTCAACTGTCTAAAGAGAAAACAATCATTAAAATCAATCACAGAAATTTTTAGTACATTAAGTTTCTAACAAATCATACTAACTTATCCCCTTCATTTGAAAAATTCTCTCAGATAAAAGGCCTCATTTTTGATTTACCAATTGAAAATTAATTAAAAACGCTTAGCTTTGATTTAACTATGTACGGTGCCAGGTGGATACTTGAAATATTGGGAGGCACACTTTGTAAAGTATATAATTTTCTAACCACTATGCTGTACATCTGGAATTAACAAAAACTAATATTGAATTAAAAAAAGAAAAAAATTGAATGTAAAACTATAATTGAAATATTAATTAAAAAATGCTTAGCTTCTACTAGAAGTAAAACTAAGGAAATAAGATAGCCTATTTAATTTTATTTAAAGTTACCATCTCTCTGTTTTTAACAAGTTTTCCTCATGAAGTAAACTAGGTATTTCTATCAAGAAACCTTTATTGAGCCCTGGCTGGTGTGGCTCAGTGCTAGAGCGTCGGCCCAAGGAGTGAAAGGTTACGGGCTCAATTCCCAGTCAAGGGCACGTACCTCAGTTGCAGGCTTAATCCCCAGCCCCAGTTAAACTATTAATATCTTTAAAATGTGTTTTTACACAAGATACCAAGTCCTACCCTAATTGGGTCATTTGTTTAATACAAAATCAAACCATCACCTTAAATGTTTTGTAAAAAGCGGCATCCAAAGCTTTCAAAATTTCCTCATCAGGACACCACTTCAGCTTTCCTCGGAGCCCGTGACCTGCTCTATAAGTCTCTAACGCGATCAAAACATGGAACGGGTGTATGCGAGCCTAGAAACAAGACAGAGTAAGCTTACAATTCAAATGGAAACTGCGATGTGCCTCCGATAACGTATTTCACAGAGCAAAGAGGAAAGTGATGGCACGTAAATTTTAGATTCAGAGTCAAAATGCAACTTGGTCTGACAAGTCTCGGTCCCTGAAATACATGACGGCGGCATTTCCAAAATCTAGGAGCCAGCCTTTTCAACCAGCAGTAGCTAACAAAGGGATGCTTACCTTTTTTAACAGTTTGTCATTCCGTAGTTTTTCACACACCAAAGACACTTCTGAATTTCCTGGTTCAAGCACTGAGTTGGCTGTCATCTTCCCCAGGTTCCTTAGCAATGCGGCCAGAGGCATTTCCCGTAGCAAAGCCTTCCACACCTATGGCCACAACATGGGCAGAAACAGGAAGGCATGGATCAGTGTAACACACTTGGGCCAACAGTAACATTAACAACATATCCTCTAAGGCTTTCTTTGGGGGTTCAGAGCACTTTCTAAATAAAAATTTGTGCAAACTGGCCAAAGGTTTACCAAATAGACTAACTTGTTCTTAACACATTCTGAATGCAACACCGGGGCATCGCGCTAGGTGTTTTTCTTACAAAGAATTAATGAGTACAGGGACCCATAGTTTATCTTTTTAATACATACCATAAATCACTGTTTACCCACATGCTGTAACATATTACACTTTACTTACCTCTCTAGACTTTAAGTGATTTGTCAGAAGCTGTTCCCTAACCAACCTGTGCTCTTCTATCAGGTGAGTCACTTCCAGCTCATCCTTTGTGCGCTTCACCTTTTCCACAGCCTCCAGGTACTTTAACAACTTTTCCGTCTCCGCAGAAAGTGCTTTTTCCTTATACAATTCCTGGACCTCTTTCCAGCCCTTTGTAATATATTTGGTGACAATAGTGAGTCCTTTAACAAAATAAAGAATTGAAAAGGCAGGTAGGGTTAGTAAGTAAAAGACAGCACGTGTTTCTGTGAAAGCATCAGGTGAAAGGCATAAAAAAGTAGATACCCAGGAGCAAACTGCTTGAATCACGATGCTGTTTTCCGTGATGTCACACACATTTAAAGAGTCAATTAATCTCGCTTATTCCATAGTTGCTATAATATGAAACTTTGGAGGATAAAACTCCTGTTTTCATTTCATTATAGAGCTGTATTTCTGGAAACACCAGCATTAGAAACTTCGGCAGACAGGCCTAGACTTAGGTCCATAACCTCAGAACACTTCTCAAATGTACTGATCTATCTCAATTAATTTCACACTCAATTGTCCCTTTTAGTTGATGATTATGGGTGTATGAATAGTACAGATAAGTGGAATTGGCAGGCAGGTAGGTACTTTTTAATTTTTTAATAGCTGAGAAAGTATTAGAGGCCAAATACTAAAATAAGGAATAATGTTCCCTACTACAAAGTAATGGGCAGAACTGAAAGCTGCACCCATCTGAGTGGCTGTCTTCAACTTTCACTTCTGGTGTAAAAAAATGTCAAATTTTGGGGCATGTCCATTTTTGTGGAAGTTTGCATTTTAAATTATTCTTGACCAAAAGTTATTATTTCCTTCTAAGGACTAAGTAATTATTGTAGATCCAACTAACTTCTCAAAAGTCTCTTCGCATCGACATAGAAAAGTTGGCCCAAGTTACGTCCCCTGGCTGACTGCTTGGAGACTATCTTGAACTGTTAAGTTCAGAGGACTGTGTCAGGTAGCCTTAGGGTTCCATGGAATGTATGTCCTAAGAAGGCAGGGAGGGGAAAAAATGAGAAGGGGCCACAGAGCTGGGCTGCCACCTACTGGTTAGGAGCAGTTTGGATCACTACAACTTAAACACATCCAGGCTTCTTTTCATAGACCATAACCACTTGGATGAGCATTCCAGTTAGCATGGTGACATTTTAAGCTGTAAATCTGTCATTTGATCCTTGGTTATTAATGTCTGGATTGCCTATGGTAGGTGTTTAATTCCAGCTGGCATTAAACGTATTTGAATTGTTTCGAGAACGGAAGGATCTTTCTAGAAAATATTACACAACTGTTATCAAATACATTTGTGATTTGTTGGATATCTGGGCACCCGCCCAAGATGTTATGCTTACCTTCGCTGGAGGGTTTGAGATGTGACAATCTTAACAGATCTTTGTGAGACCAGCCATTCCTTTGTTTGTACTTTGTAACTGCCAGAGCAAGGGCCATGCCGCCCTTTCCATTGTACCAGTCTGCTATAGCCTTCCGGAGGGCGCGGCCCCATATGCCACATTTCATGCTTTCCTTCAGATCTTTCTTAAACTGTATAAAAGTGAAGAGATGTGTAGGAATGCGACAAACTTCAGCCACAGCTTTAAATGCCGCTTGCTTTGTGCTTATGTCGGAGCACTGGGAACAAATGGCCAACGCAAAGAGTATAGGCTCCTGCCTGGCGGTTCTGCCTTCTTGACTAAATGCTTTGATTTCCTGTATCACCTCACATCCTCTGCCATCTTCAATCAATCTAATCAAAGCTTCGGCATTTTCAAGGCCCAACTTCTGCTCTTTGATATAGTAAGTCCCACCCTCAGAACCAAAACACAAGAACCGGTGTAGGCGATTCATATCCGTGACTTGCCATACATATCCATCTTCAGAATTCACTACCTGCTTCTCATTCAGGGGTTGCATTTGGTTTAGTGAGTCCTCCATTTTTCTATCTTTTAGGAAACCTATCAAAAAGCAAAATGTTACTTGCCACATTGACACAGTAAAATTATAAAAAGGTAAACATTTACTAATCTATGCTTATTGAAATCTTCCATGAAATCTTTTTTGATATAGAAGTATTTTTTAAGCTCAGTGAGTGATGCTGTGATAATCAGAAGCCACAACTAAGAAGTCACTTTTTTCAGTTATAGTTTGTTGCCTCAGAGAATTTGTAGGCAGCTCAGCATGGGGTCTGAAGTTCCCAGACTGAGAATCAGGTGGGTACAGGAAGGGCAGTTACATCAGCTGACCCTAAGGAGATCTTAGGACCTTTATTCCCTGAATAACTTGGTAGACATTTTTGGTTGCTTAACCCACATCCATTCCTCCCCCACCCTCACCCCCGAATAATCGAGTGTTGTAAATCCAGATTAAAAAAAAGTTAATTCTTCTGTGGGTTGGCTGACCTCTCCAGTACTCTTAAAGCACGCCACCCCAAAGAATTTCACACAGCTGAAGGTGTAAAAAACTTCTCTAAGGTAAAATTTTTGGAAGAAATTAAACAAATCTCAATATTAAAAACATGGCCACAACTTAAAAACTAGTTGTGGATATTTTAACACTGCCTACTCTTTCTTAATTGCTTAATTTTGAATGCGCAGGCAGTGAATGCGAGTAACACACAATATGCAACCACACTTCTGCTCCCCAGCCACTAGAACTAGGACAACACAGACGTAGTCATGGCATCTTCTAACAATACCGGTAACACGTTATTCCTACCGATGCCTACGTTTCCCTTAAACATGAATTCTTCCCCATCTCTCACCACCTGTTAGCTGAAAACGCCACCTTTCACCCCGCAGGTCAAACAAGTCTGCAGCTTATCCCTTTCAGATAAGGTCAGAGCTGACTCTCGTCCATGAAAACCACAGCTTAGCAGAAACAATACTGCAAAACCTGGGGCCACACACTCGGAGGACTGCATCACTCAGATGGCCAAAGGCATGAGCGGACTGTGCCGAGCGTGCCATCCGACTGGCGGGCTGTGGTGTAGGCCTAGTATTGCCAGACTGATCCTCTCATTTTTCCTCCAAGACCCAGGAACCTGGATTTTTATACAAACTCTTAGAATCAAATGTTAACAACAAAATTAAAGAAAATTTAACCCCCCCTTTCTGGTTATTTCTAGGTTGCGTCAAGGTCTAACTTTCCAGTCTGGTGTTTCCTCAATAGGCACCATGTTAAGTTGGGTTTCAAATACATGTTAGTTTTGATGCACTTATTTAGCACAGAAAACACTTTCGAGTTCACAGCAGTATTACCAATTAAAACCCCACAAACGACTGCCCACAGCTTGGGCTCTGATGACACTCATCCGTCCCTAAGGCTGTAACGGTGGACCCTGTGCCTTACACATTCCCCACTGGAGTCCCATTCGCAGGGCAGGGCAGGCTCCTAGCGACAAACCTCAACAGAGTTCCGAAATTAAAAAAAAAAAAAAATCTAACACTTGATACACATTTTGGCTTCTGTTCCACATTATACCCGTGCTTGTTTTCATATGAAAGCTGTTCTGTTGCTTCTATCAGTGAAATTTACCGTGATTACTTCGCTCCCTGTCACTCCACGGCGCAGGTCACCTGTTTGATTAGCGAGGGATTGGACTTTTATGCACTAAAACGTGTTTTTTTGTTTGTTTTTTCTTTTTCCTGGAAGCTAAGGGCCCTTCTTAGAACTCAGGAGGTTTAAGAAATTATGCACAAAGATAGTTAAAAGTTTTTCTCCAACCCCAGCCGACATTCAGTGTTCTTTCGTACGGTCGGGTATTATACAGTCACGCACTTTACCCAGGGCCCCCCAGAACCACACACAGCTGCACGGATAAAACAAGCCCTTGAGACGAACACCCCGCGGGGCCCGTGGAGCGAGAGCGGCCTCGTGAAAATGGCCCCTTGGGGGTAACTGATGGCCGAGCCGTGGGGCCGTTACAGGTGCTGTTAGACGAGCACCGCGCGTCTCTGCGCCCCGCTTTCCTCGGAGGCGCCCCTCCTCTGGGCCCCCGCTCCCCACAAAGACCCTCCTTCCCGAACCCGGGTCCGGAAAAGGCCTCCCGGCAGAGGCCGCGGTGAGCGGGGGGCGGGGGCGGAAGGCGGGCCCTC